AGGCTTCCCCAGCTGCTGGCCTCACTGGAGCTGCTGTTATTAAACCTTTGAATGAACAAATCAGAGGTCTATTTACCAAGCCTGCCCCCTCGGTAACATTATTTGATCAATTCCGGAATTCTTTTTGATAGGTAATTAAAAAAGCTTTTCCTTAGGTATGGAGTGGATTAAACCATTAATTACACTTCACAGCCCTAGAGATGCAATTCTTTTGCTATTGTGAAATGTCTATGGCAAACCACAAAAATGCTTGCCTCCATAAAAGAACTGAATAAATGAAAGCAATTTCCTCAAGACCCAGATTTCTCTGAGTTTTATGGCTAAAGACTTGAGTTGCAACAGCATTAATAAGTTTGTTCTTTAGGGCTGAATTTTCTCAATACAAATGTCCGTGACTGTAGCACAAAGAAAATATCTTCTTTGGCTGATAGAGCCAGCAGACTGAATCCATATATTAATATTATTGTTATCACTGAACTGCCACAATGCACTCTGCATCCAAGTTGCTCAAAAAAAGATCAGTTAAATTAAAGATCCTCACCAAGCAGCGACAATTTTGTGTAAAAGCCAATTTAGCCATTATGGAAGCTGCAGGATCATATTAACTTTTCTCAAAAGTATGCATAATGCATGACAGCAAGTGGTTTTGACAAGTGCTTGAGTGTGTGTGTCTGCGTGTGTGGATGTGTCCTGCATGTAAAGAAAGCCCTGAAGTAATTTAAGTTACAAAGTCAAGTGATAGAAAGACAGAAAATGCTGGATTTACAGGTGTTGCACCTGTTTAGTTCAACCCCTTGCTATCCAGCTTGTGCATCAAAAAGAGCAGGGGAATTGATGTTATCCTGAGAGACAATGCTTTTGTTTGAAAGCATCTGCTTAGCTGACACTTCCCAAATTTCCAGCATGCTACACTGTAAAACAAACAGCTTTTTTAAGTTTGGGGGCCTTTACCCCATCTTTGAATGACATTCCCTAAGGTTTTGGACATTTCTACTTTCTTTAAGTTTGATAAAGTCACAATCTACTGTCACATGGGGCTTCAGCACCTCTGTCTTCATGCATGGCTGGGAAGGGCTGAGTCTGAGCCTTTGTTACTGGAACAGGGGCTGATATTTTGGCTAGAGCTGGCAACAGACGAGGATTTTATTCCCCAAAAAGGGCAGGAGGATGAAAATTCTGCCAGCCTGGTGTAGCCACACAGGGAAACCTGCTCTCCTCTGCCCAATGCCTGCAGGGGTTTAGGTGGCTGAACCTGGGAAGTGCAAAATCTCCACCAAAATCTCAAAATCAAAATCTCCACCAAAATCTCAAAATCAAAATCTCCACCAAAATCCCTGCTCTGTTGCTTTAGGTCTGGTTTTGACTATTCAGCCAAACATTTTGCCTTTGAAATTATGGTAAGAGAGGCATGGTCAGAACCCAGCAGATTTTACAGCATTCCCAAGGCAGGATTCAGGATAATTCTCCACCTAAGCATATTGGGAGGGATAGCTGCCAGGAATACAAGTTCTTATGCATTCCTACACGCAAGGTTCATTGGCATCAGGAGATTATTTTCACTCAGTGCTCAGGTTTTTTCAATTATGACACTCATTTTATATATGGGAGAACATATATGGAAATTAATCCAATAACACTTCACCATCAAATAACACTTCTCCCAGAGAACCACAGAACAAGCTCTAGCTTAGCTGTGTGCTTGCAAAACAAAAATAACCTGTTCCTCACAAGAAAAGCTTCTGTTTCTTCCATTTCATAGAGGAAATAGGATGTGTTAGTGAGGGCTAGAAGTCATGCTAATACTTAACTGCTGTGAAGAAAAATCAGGACATTAAACATTCTGCAACATATTTTCTACAGTGGTATAGACCTTGAAAAACTTCAAATAATATATTATTTAGATAATATAATCTGATCATAAAATCTCTAATAGATATTTAAAAATCTCTGATATTGAGAAGAAAAAGCTGGGATATATTTATCATACCATGCTAGAATCAAACTGTAATTTTGTAATTATTGTGTGATCGGTAATCACAAGCAAGAAGTTTACTGCCATTGCCTCTATTTGGCGCACAAACAAAATCTGCTGTTGTCTCCTGTACCAACAGAAATTCGTATCCTAAAGAAAAGGTTTCTGGGCAAAAAGGAATAAAAGCAGTGACAGCAGCAGGTAGGAAAGCAGAACAAAATGTGAGAAAAGCATCTTGAGTGCCCACCCAGGCTTGAGGCTCTGCTGCAGTGGAAGGACAGGGGGAGGTGATTCCAATTTGGGAGCTTCTTGGTCACGCTGGCTGACTCTGCACCTCTGTAGCACAACATATTTTTAATTTGCTGCATGGGGATGAAAATACCTCCTGAAAAGCAATTAAACTGCCAAGTGTTTATGAACTTATGGAATTGAAGGTTTATTCTGTCAGAATGAGAGAGTGGACAATGGTAAGATGGGAGTTCAAATGAAGTAAAATACAATATTTCTCATCAAGCTTGGAGTATTATAAGTCCTGAGTTTGCATACTGAAATCATGTTTACTTTCATAAATTTTGCCTGTGCAATGTAGACTTGAGTATAAATTCTCCCAGTCCATATCTTTAATACTGGTTTGTGAAATACATAGATTGAATATTTCAAATGGAAGCCGGAATGGGGAGAAAGCAGAGTTTAATACTTTGGAAATGCAAATTCAGATGTTTTTATTCACAGGCTGGCCATAGACTTTGTACATGGCCTTGGACATTGATTCTACCTTGCTCCTCAATTCAAAAAATGAAAAGCCCTCTCCTTTAAAAAATGAACAGCTCTGGGAATGACATGAATATAAAGCACAAGCAAACTGACAAGCTCAGCAATGGAGAGGGGAGACCCTGGGCAAGTGTGCACACAGAGAAACTGGACAAGAGTGGGATTTCAAAGCCTGTCTCAAGCTCATGGAGGTTCAGTTCTCCAAAACATAATTAGAGTATCTAAATCAAACAGTCAAGCTCAGCTTTGGTACATGTCCTCCTTGTGCTGGGGGCCACAGAGCTGGGTGTAATCCCAGGTGGGGTCCCAAAAAATGGAGCAGAGGGGCAGAATCCCCTCTGGGATGAGCCCAGGACACGTTTGGCTCTCTGAGTGCGCTGGGCCATGCTGAGCTCCCTGTCAACAAAAAAACACCCCCACATCCTCCTCAGGGCTGCTCTCCAACCTTCTCAGTGGGCAAAATCTTCTTATACAAAGACCTTCTACTATCTCCACTCTCATTTTCCATAGCAAATTCAGTCTGAAGGGTTTTCCTGTGACTCATCTAGAGACAAGTGCATCAATTGCAGCCTCTAGATCTAACCAGAACCAACCCAGGAGTGTCCAAACATGACAAGGGAGGCACTTCTCCCAGTGACACAGATATTTAATCATCTGGCATGGCCTGATGAGATACCCACAATGAGAATGTCAAAAAGCTCATCTAAGTGACTCACCAAAGCTCCTCAGCAAAACTGGGAGAGCATAATCTGAAGTGAAACATCCCTGCATTGCAAAGGGTTTCATGCCTCTGAGAGCTGCTGAGCTGAGCTCTGCAGCCTTTGCTTTGGCATTTCCCAGCAGAACACATCTCATTTATCCTCATCCCCCTGCCCACAGCAGCAAATAAGAGCCAGGTCAAACCTCACCAAGCTCCATTTGGGAAAATTCACTTTGACTTTAGGGTCTCTGGGCCAGATTTGAAGCACAGCTCCAATATTTGCATAACTACAGATTTCCCCAGCATAATTCCAAGATGGATTTTTATGATACATCAAGAGAGGAGAGATGAGACCATTAAACAAGTCAGTGTACATCAAATGTGGTATCAAGGCAGCAGATTGCTTTCTTTTTGCTTCTTCTGATACTTGAATTTTGGTTTTGTTTTTTTGTTTTTTTGTTTTTTTTTGTAGCAAGGGTTCGAGAAAACAAATGCTGAGTCAATACTTCTGAGATCAGTTTAGTATGTAACACAGCTAAAGAAATTTGTAGTTAAGCTGAAGTTTTGTTTTTGGCAGCTTGAACTGCCTAAAATCCTAATTCAATTGCAATCTACTCAGAGACCACAGCTGTTTAGCTTGGCTAAACTTTTCTCACCATTTAATAAGATACTTTTTTATTTAACTTTCACTTCTGCCTAGGAGCCCCAGTGGGTCTTTTAAAACAGAAGATTATTATTAGAAATTAATTAAGTATTCTTTTCAATTCTGTCTCCTGAGAGCAACTAGGCATTGTTGCTGATCTCCTCTGCATTAAGACATTACTGATTGTCATTCATGGGATGATAGTGTGGATGTCTCATCTGGAAAATATATAACTCCATAAATATGAAAGATTTGAAAGTTATTTAATACAAAATATAATAAATCAGTGCAAATAATAAACATGTAATTGCAATGTCAAGCACAGCACAGGCGTGTGAAGACTATAAACAGTGGAATAAAAATAGACACACATTCCAAAGACAAAAAAACCCTTACTGCAATTACAGGACCCCGATGGATTGCACTTAGTCCATGTTTCAGCACACTGCAAACCCTGACTAAACAATTCTAAGAATATCAAATGCAATTAAAGACAATTGATTTGATAAGCTGGGGTTATTTTTAAGGGACCAGTGACTATAAAGTGTTTGTTGCACTGCCCCCCTCCCATTGCATGTGACTACAGGAAGCACAGACTAAATCTGCCACCTCTGAAAGCTTTTTCTAAATAAACCAAACCCAAAAAGCACTGATATCCTGGTGTAATTTTTGATCTGAGGCATTGAACATGCATATTAATGTACTACTGACAGAATTAGCTATGCATTTAATTTGGCAGTCCATGCTTGAGATGGCAGTTGGTTTATTTCATTTTCACTCAGCTCAGGGTATCTGTAAAAGTAACTGCTGTCATATTCCAGCCAGGAGGGATGTGAGGAACGCCACCATGGGTCAGCAGAACAACAATCAATCCCTTACTCCAAACAACAATAATAATGCAGAATTCCACTTACTTTTTAGGTCTGTAGTCAGGGATGGACCTGTCCAGTGATATCCTGTCACTGAGCTGGGCATTGTAACCATACTCTTCATACTTAGTCTCTGATTCATGGCTGTCATCTCTCAGGGTAGCAGCCATTCCCCCCTGGCCCAAACCTCCTGGACCTTCCACTAATCCCATGGGCTTTGCCAGACCTAAATGAAACACAGACAAAAAAATTAATCAAATTATTAACATAAAAGGTATAGATAGAACATCTTCTGTGACACAGAATGTTTTCAGATAAATGAGATCTGAACTCCCAGTTCTTAAAACCCTCATGCCTCTGTGGAAATTACCCTCAGCTTCCCAAACCAAAGTCCAAACCAACACATCTTGTAGTATCTGTGCATAATGAGCAAACTATAAAGAATCAATTAGCAGCTTTCACGATTCCTTCTTTTTCCAAAATGGCTCATTATTGTTAAGATAATTAAGAAAAAAATTTTCCCCATTAGAACTGGTGGGTTTCCCCATGTAGCCCATTAAAACTTCATTCATTTTAAGGGAGAGATGCTGAATTTCTACCACATGTGGGTGTGCCAGTTTAACTCCACATTAGTGTCAGTTCTGGTACTTGCTCTGTGACTCCAGGACCCTGCAGTCCCGGTCCAGGTTTGGTTCCTATGGATTGGTCACCAGGTTCTGCTGGGTGGTAAATACAGGATAAATCTGATTTCGCTGCCTGACTCAACAGATGGGTGATTTGGACTCGAATACACACCCTGCCCAGCCTCTGTTGCCACAAAGATGTGCTAAAACTATTTTAATGGAGCTGACACTCCACCTGGGAATCACTCCAGATTCCTCTGCACTTCACATCTGACAAATGAAATATGTAAGATACTCAGCTCTGTAGAGCTCACAGTAGCAGAAAGTTTGGACACTCAGTAGGTGCTGAGAAATCAGCCAATTAACAATGCATTCACAGGTTTCATTCACTGGTCAACTCAAAAATAAAAATAAAACAAAACTAAACCAACATAAAAATGCTCGTATGATCACATCACCAGGAACCTCTTCCATGGCAACAGGCATTTAATTTGGTGCTGAATCCTCATAAATAAGCTCCTCAAATATCCTGTGTTTAATGTCAAAGCTCTCCTTTCCAAAAGGCTGGCTATCAGCAAATCATTATAAGTGATAAAGTTATTTATAATAACCTTGGGAACACCATACAGGAATGTGTGACTCCCCCAAATCATTTACGACACCAAGCAAAGCAATTAGAGCTTGACCCACTCAACATTTTTCAAATCAAGACTTTTTCAAGAGGAAAATGTCATTATTTCAACTAAATGATTAAAAAGAAAGAAAGGAACTGTCAGCATTTGGTAGCAACAAACACACATGGCAGTACAAACGTGGGACTGGCTTCTCCAAGTGCCATTAAGGAGGGCGGATCAGACCCTTGGGAGGAAATTCTCTTTCACCGCACTGCAAACAATGTCCTTACTTGTTACAGCTCCATCACCATCTCTGTTTAATGACAGGACAGCCCATAGAGACATTGCTTCATTACTGATCTGAATGGGTGAAATTCTGCATTTTCTCCTGCAATGTTTATGACAAAATCCTGTTCTGAGATAAAGTGCAACAATACAAACAGTCACAAATTAACATAAAAGGAATTCTGCTACTGAATTTCAGACGCTGCTGACAAAAATACAAAAATGCTGCAATCAGTGGTGAGTCAGGACAGATCTTGCTTGTGTTTGTGTCTTTGATGCCTTCATGCTCCTCATCACCAAGCACTGAAACGTGACTAAAACTCAAGACAAGTCTGGATTTCAAACCAGAAAAATTCTTCTAGCTTATTAAGTGAAGCACTTCAATCCATGTTCAACATTCTGAAAATATTTTAGGGAGCTTCATTTTGAAGAAAATGGTCACTTTTGTCCTTTTTTTTCCAATTTAGGATGAGAGGCTACTTGGCATTTGACTTTCCTTTGGAAAAATGTGAGCAGAGGGCCCTGCACGCCTGGCCTGACAATGATTCCCTGCTTGAGTAATTACAGAAATTACATGTCTGGGACTCCACATCTCTCCCCACTCAAAAGGAGAAGCAGAGCAGCCCAATCTTCCTGCATGACACAGACTTAGACTTAACAGACACCAGCAGCAGTGATGCTGCAAGCTCTGCCTGACATGCCCAATATATGGAACCTGAAAGGGGCTCAGTTTCTGAGAAAAGTCAGCAATTTCCTCAAAAAAAAAAGAGTCAAATTAAACACTTTAAAAGTCAAAACCCCAGAAAACTTGACAAAGACTATGTCCTTGAAAGACCATAACGTGGATATTCATTTGATGATCACCTGGAATCATCTGGGCTAGGTTCTGATGTAACATCAAAGCAAATTGAAGATTACTTCATTAAAATTAAGTGACCTGCTTTAATGAAAGGCTCTCCAAGATGTTGTGTGCTCATTTCACTTGAAACAACAATCTAATTCCAGTGGTTGAGAACTTTATTCTTCATACTACATTCTCTTGCAGTTTATGGAACAAAACACTTGAGTCTTTGTGGCACAAGTAATGTGAGAATGAAACTTCCACCCCACAGGAAGCATCAAACACTTGGATATTTTACTTCTGGGAGAATTGGTTAGACAGCCTGCAAAACCAGCCATGATGACAATTATTTCATATACCTTTTTCTAAATCTGATATTCTAGCTCTTTGTGCTGCTGATCTGATCTTGTTGTGGGAAGGAATCATCATTTGACTTCCCCTCAGAGCATATTGCAGTGAGCTTTTTGCTCCAGCTACCACATTGTAGCTTAGTCTGACTGACAGTTATCCCAGAAATGCAGTAACATTGACCAAAATAAAGCAGCAATTAAATAAATGATATCACATTGCTGCCTTCTTCAAAAAGAGCACCAAAGTGTCTCTGGAAGGTCTTAGGAACAATGAATATACTCTATTTTATATATGTGCATGTGTGTGAGAGGCAGCAATTACAGGCAATGCTCCTCAATGCATGGTTGGTTAGCCAGACCCTGCCTCACATATTTCCATTGCATTTTCCATCTCAAAGTTGATTTGCTGTTGCTTCAGCAATTGTCTCCTCAACAGAGACCTTTTTCCCATCCCTTTCTAGATCACAGTGATGACTTGCTAACCCCCAAATCCACAGTTGCTGCACTGGTCAGCCTTAAAAAAAAAAATTAAAAAAAGGACAAAAAAGACACAAAGAAAAGGAGTTTCAGTTCAGCAGCATCTTCACAAAAATAGGTTGGTATCAAGAATTGGGATCCTTATTTTGCCTTTGTGTTACCCACCTGCAGCCCTGATTCTCACCCATTTTTCCTCAGCATCAGAAGCCAACAAGGGCAAGGCACAGAGCCAGAGCAAGGATTGAGATCATGGGGCCAGCTCTGCAATGGGGATGTGCAGAAAGGGGATGCCCAGTGAGCAGCTATTCTTCAATCTATCCTTTCTTTAAATTTTCTGGACTAAAAATATCTGCAGCTGTTACACTGGGAATGGTCATAGGCTGCTCCATGCTGCAGATGACAATGAGGTCACAAATAATTAGTGTCTGTCATTCATTTCTAATTTATTGCTCTCACTGCAGAGATTTCTGTGTAGGACAGAAAATGTTGGGAGAATGGAGAGCAGAACCAGCCAGGCTCAGTTCCTTAACCAGATTAATTACTCCACAGGATGCATCATTTTCTAGGAAGAAAAGAGATCTTCTATTTTTCATCATAAACCTTGTCACAATGGGAAAAGCACTAAGGAGATTTATATGAGAAACTATGGCAAAATCTAGATCAGATTATGGCTGTGATTATTTTACTATCATTTTTTTTCCTTTTTGCAATACAATTACAGGCAGCTGTAAATCAGGTTCAGCCAAGGTTCTCAGACAGAATTAAACTTCTGACAATTCAAAATAAAAATAAGTGATTGAAAATAATAATAGAATGTCAGAACAGTGAGAGAACTGCTGCAAAATCTCCAAAATGCCCTTGCTGGCCTGTCTCAGCCCCAGCCTGAGAAGGGCTCCAAAGCCAGAGTTCTGAGCTTTATCTACACTTACTTCATCTGCATATTTGAATAGCTGCAGAAAAATATTTCAGTTTCTAGTACCTGAAAAGGAGGGAATAAAACATTTTTTTCTAAAACATCCGGCACAAGTCAAAATCCTGACATAGTCACCTAGCAATTCTGCCTGTGACCCCTGAAACACTAAAACAGGAAACATAAAACTCAAACAACTGTTTCCTTCTTTCTCCAATTATTATTACTCACCTGAAAATACCACTGCATGCCATGTAAAGCAATAAAAATCTTTGGATCTTAACTTAATTTAAAAAAGGAAAAAAAATCAGGGACAATAGAAACTCCACATAGATTGACAAAGCTGACTTTGAGTATTTCCAGTTACAGCTTTGCAAAGAAAATAAAAAGGTTCAGAAATTCTGGAATAGGTTCAGTAACAGCTTAAACAAGACTCAGCTTACAATGTCCTTTTAAGCTATTTTTACATAAACCCAGCTGTTTAGAGGCCGGAATTAAAGCAGTTGCAACTATTGAACAAACCCCAGTGCTTCCACCTTGAATTACTGTATTGTGCTAATTTTTTGATCTTGTTCTGTTGCAGCTAGAAACTTCAGCTGAAGGTTAGAGCCTCAAAGAATGGCATGGAGTGAAGCAATGATCTTCCTCCTTCAGGAGCTGCATGTCAGAGTGAAGCAGGTGTACAAGAAAAGCAGCTGGTTGGAGGAGGAGGAGGAAAAGTGCAATACAGGTGAGCCATTCAACACTGAGCTAAAGGTCTCAGCTCACCAGCTGTTTATAACTTCATTTTACTTATACCTAAAAATAACTGTTAGCTGATGATTTCTAAAAGAACACACACCAGAGAAAGGCTCTCTGGTGTAAGCAGCCCCTTTTCTCTCACACAGCCCCATAATGGCATAAATTCAGTGAATGCATTGGCAGTTCACTGCACTAATGTTAAACCTGAAAAGCTAAAAGCATTTTCTGTTGCAAGCATGAGGATCAAAAATATGCAGAAAAAAAAAAAATCTTATTTGGAACTATTTCACTATTTGACAGAGTTTCAGCCAACTTTGCAAACAGTAGCATGCAGCATGGGGAGCTGCTGGTGTCTAGCTCATGATTCAATTTAAATGTTAAATAG